TAGTACTTGTAACATTTATTTATTTATTCAAGAGGTTTGTTTTTAAATGATTCTAAAATAAAACTGACACTTTAAAACAAATATCTGTAATTGTCACTTTCTTCTTCTTCATTGTGGTCTCCATCATTTTGTATATCTGGCCAAACTGCATAGTCATCATGTCATCGTCCCTTTCTTCGTTTCCACTGCCTAATCAAAACTGCAAGTATATTTTATTTCACTAAAACACGGATAGTATTAGAACTTCACAACAAAGCCTTCATTCTAGATCATAGGATTGCCTACATAATTTTTTTCTCTTTCTTTTTTATTAATGGTCATATCTTTCCTTTTTTTTCTCCTTTGTTCAGATTAAGAACCATCATTGCGCCTTCCGTAAATGTATTGGTTCATGCATGTTTTGGTGTACCCTTAGTCCTTGGTTCATTAATTGGAAACCCAAAACTTATAATTGGCGCATATGTTAGTGCTCATTGCACATATCCGAACCGCTTCAACCAGCTTTACCTCATCCCAAAGTATCTCTAACCTCGTGCAGAGATAGTTGATTTATAATGACGACATCTTATAATTGACATCTTACATCTTAGATCAGGACATGTTGCACAACATAGTAAGACATAATGCATTACTAGTGGTATAACCAGCACATAAATTTTTCCTCAGCGCCAACTATTACAATATTCCACAACCATATAACACTACATAAGCACAAAATGAATAATTCGCTTCAGTATAACATTTTGGGCAAAGAACTACTTTTTACTCTCTGGATGACCACCAGCTCAGTATACTCGCTGCATTTTCTATAGACTTGTCCTTATGTGTGCTACTTCAACATATCAAAAGAGTGAAAAAAATTTAGGTTGCAATTGACTAAAAATCCTTCAAGGTTGAACCAAATTTGAGTAACTAAACAAATCCAAGACCCTAGCAAAGAATCAAAACCTCAATTTAGACAACAGGTACAGTTAGCTTAGTTGTCAAAATGAACAATGCAGAGCTCGGGAATGAAGAACAGAGAAGAGAGCAGCTGAGCTTGAACTGATACCTCTACGGATTTTGAAAGGGGAGATCTCTTTTGGGCTCCGCTCTTCTCTCAATGGGAATTTGAAGCTGTGGGCCTTTTGGAGGGAGACTGAGATCTCTTTTGGGCTCCGCTCTTCTCTCAATGGGAATTTGAAGCTGTGGGCCTTTTGGAGGGAGACTGGGGTCAATCCTGCTGCATTGAGATTTCCATTGCGTACTGCTCTCGGCTTTCTAGGGTTCTGCGTGAAATTGAATTTTAGGATGTGTAAGCACCGGAATGTTTTTATTTTTATCTTTTCGGGGTTTTCATAAAAAGAGAAGAGCTCGCGGAATCTACTCCTTTGTGCAAATTGAATCCAAGATTTATATGCTACTGCAGTATTTACTGTAGTATTGCTATTGCAACCAGAGTTATTCTACAGGGACTAGGGGTTAACACCTCACCTGTCACCCCTTGGGTCCCATGATTTGGGGTCCCAAAGGAATTTTTCATTGCAACAAATATGGAAAGAATATTGTAGCATTTTAAAAACTACCGTGGCACGCATGAATACTGTTGTTTTTTTAAAAAAACTATAGCAGAGACGGGAACGATAACAATCCAAAAAATCTAAAAAATTACTGTAGCATTTAAAAATTGGGATTACTATAGCAGAAAAAAATAATATGTCGTGTTTTGCACAGTGTTCACGACTAGTTTTTGAGGAATTCTTAAAGAAAATCTTGTGTATTAGAGAAGAGGGTTCGGTTCCAGAACATCGATGGGCTTTCCTAGTTGAGAAAAATGAGGAAACTTCAGTAGTTGGCCCAGTGTAGACCAGATTGGGAGTAAAATCTTTTATGGGGATCTTTGTAGTATATTGAACGTCAGATGTGCTACTCCTAATTAATTGCTTCTAACCCCCAATATCTTTACCAGCATGAGACGAAGAAAACTGCGATCTTGAAGATGGTGATGACGAGTTGTGATGGATTCAGCGTCGTCGTTCCGAAGAAAAAGGCGGGAACTTCGGCGACTCCCGGTATAATTTCCCTTTTTTAACTTGTACTTGAATCTGAGTACTATATTTTTTTTATTATTTTACTTATTGTTGTAATTTTTTTAAATCTATGACTTGAGATTAAAGTAGAGTCTGTAAATTTATATATTGTTATTATTTCATTGTAATGAGTTTGTTGTTAAGGTTATGAGTTGGTTGTGAAGGAAAGTTACGTGTTGGTTTTGAAGGTTATGAGTTGATTGTCAAGGTTACGAGTTGGTTGTGAAGGTTATGAGGTTGTTGTGAAGTTTGCGATTAGTTTGTGAATGTTACGAGTTAGTTGTGAACCTCGGTAAGGAGTTGGTTGTGAATATTAGTTAACAACCATCACAATCAACTCATTGCCGAGATTCACAACCAACTCATAACATTCACAAACAACTCGTAACATTCACAACAAACTCATAATCTTCACAACCAACGAGTAACCTTCACAACTAACTCGTAATCTTCACAACCAACTCGTAAACTTCACAATCAACTCGTAACCTTTAAAACCAACACATAACATTCATTCACAACCAACTCATAACTTTAACAACAAACTCATTACAATGAAATAAGAACAATATATAAATTTACAGACTCTATTTTAATATCAAGTTATCGATTTCAAAAAAAATTACAACAATATGTAAAATAACAAAAAAATATAGCACTCAGATTTAAGTACAAGTTAAAAAAGGAAAAAATTACACTGGGAGTCGCCGGAGTTCCCGCCTTTTTCTTCGGAATGGTGACGTTGAACCCATAGCAACTCGTCATCACCTTCTTCAAGATCGTAGTTTTCTTTGCCTCATGAACGAACGCCGGGAAAGTTCCATCACTGATGTCGATGCCGTTGGAAAATTTTGGAGAGAACTAGAATCTTTCCCTCCAAAACCCATTTCAAATCATCACAATGACATCATGAAAAAAAGAGAGAGAAAGGATATTATGGTCTTCACATGTTTTAAACTCTTGGATTTTATGTTTTGGGGGCTCAGAGAATTGTGGCTTTGCTTTTGGGGGTTTTGGGAGTGTTGAAAAAGTATTGGGGAGGGAGAGAATACTTATAAGAAAATTTGGGGCTAGAAGCAATTTTTCCTTTTCTTTTAATGAAACTACTTGTAATTTTTTTTTTTTTTTTGATTGATTCGTGAGGTTTTATTCTACAAATTCAATCGTATTGCAAGTTGATATTTCAAAAAAATATTAGTAATTTTAATTTTAACCATAAAGTTGTAAAAATTAAGAAGTGCAATAAAAAAAACTAAGAAATCAGTTGAAATCATCAAATTATTTTCCTACCCTTTCCACAAACGCCTTGGAGTATATTTTGCTATGAAAGATCTGGTAGAATTTGTGAGGTTTAGGTCACTAATCCCTACCAATTTCATAAATAATTCAGAACATCTTATTTCTATATAGCAAATGTTTTGATAAAATTTGTACAACTACAATAGTAATTACGACCTTAGATGCGGTAGCATAAAACTTCACAAGATTAATTCTTTATATTCTTAATTACAGAGAATGTCTACAAGTCTATAACTCACCAGTAACCAATTTTTATTCTAGATCATGAATAATATTTATTAAATGAATTATATTAGAATCCTCCTTATAGTGCCAATTTGCAATTACAATTAATTATATCACCATGCAAGAAGCCACGTATCACTCAACTCCCCCAACTCCTGCGCTCTACATCTACATGCCACCATTCCCACCCACCCAGGGCCCCACCCCAGCGCCCAGCCGCAATCCAACCCGTCGCACGCTCGCATCGGCCACGATCATGCCCAAGCTCGCCAGCGGCCGCCGCGACACCGACGAATCTAACGGCCCACGTGACCGGGACCCGCAACCGATACGAGTACATCAACGCCGGCTCTACCTTTTCGCAACGTCCTGCGCTCATCGGCGGCTTCTTCGCGCCGCAGTTTTCTCCCGCGCGACTCGAACGACAAGTCTGGCCTCGGTAGTGCATTCTGCATCGGCATCGTGGTTCGTTGCGGAGGCGTCAACGGGCACGATCATCGTCGGCGCATTTGGTCGGGTACAGATTTTTTGTGTGGATCTGTGCGGTTTGATCCGCAGTTTGGGTCTTGTGGAGTTCCGGTGGTCACCCCCCCTTCGGTTGTGATTGTTGGTCTTGTGGAGTTTGTGGGGTATTCGTTGCTTTTGATTCAGGTGACCGCCAACTAATTAATGTTTGTTGATTTATTTAGAAATTTCTATAGTTTTCAGAATTATATCCAGTAATTCTTAATTTTGATCTATGAATATTGCTTCCAAATATGCAAGAACCTCGTATTTAAATGCTGGCTTCAATAAAGATCCTAGACTTAAGAAATCGTGCTTAATCATTTATTTGGTTAACTTTAGAAATTTTTATATTTTAACTTTAAATACGTACATAAAAGTGTTTTTTAAAATTATAATTGATGAAAATATGTAGGCTTAGAGACAGAATTTGGCATTTGTGACCAAGCAAGATATAGAGTGCATAAAATCTTTACAATATGTAAGTCATGAAATTTTTAGTAAGATATCAATTTTGCTGTCGAACAGCGTTACAGTTTGCGAGGGAATCATTCAGGAAATAAAATGTTGTATAGTACATTTGTTTGCTGAAAAGAATACATTGTACAATAAAATTATGCATAATTGAGTTACTCATCTGTTGGGGGGTTTTACTCCCCAAAAGACTTTCGCGGCCCTGAAGAAAATTAGAGAAGACAACAGATAATTGCAAGAAGCGCCGCATCTTTCTTATTATTAATCAGAAGGGCACCTAAACATTTTACGCTTAGGCCACTTAACAGTTTACGCTAGCCACATTTCAAGGCGGCCATCCTAAGCCATAAATTTGTCTGCCTTAACCTTGGTTTCATACAATACAAGAACTTGTATAGTACAACGCTGATAACAGATATGCTGTACATAAATGATATTCGCAGGATTTTATTCTCTTCTAATGGCATAGGCAGATTAGTTTACCTATTCTAAGATGATATTGGCGCAGGATGTTATTCTCGCTCTAATTATAGGAGAATTAGTTACCGTATTCCTAGATGGGCCTAATTACTGGAGATTTGGTATAGCCGCTAATTTTGGTTCTTAATTCTCCTCTGGTAATTGAAGGTTCCTGTAGCTGGTATTATATTCAATGTGATTCAATAGTAAAGATATGCAATTATTTCACTAAGTCTTCACTGGTATGCAGAGCCGGCTGTTTTGAAACTGTTCTTCTTCCCCAGTAAACGCTAAACTTCCCTGCGCTCTCTCAGTCCGCCGGCCGCAGTTAGCCCCCACGACCAGAGGAGTTCACCTTCAGTCATGGTCCGAATGAAAAATAATAAGTTCTGCATACGGCCAACAGTCAGAACACCCAAACATCTGCATTGCAGTCCAATGTACACAACTCTGTGAAACTCACATCTCTAATTATCTCTCCTGGAAATTGCAATCGAAGCCATCTCATTGGCTATGATCAGCAACAATTTTGTTGATGGAAATCCCTCTCTGGCAACCACCTGCTAGCCAGTCATCGAAAATGGATCCGAACTCCTAATCCCGCTTATCATCATTGGCGTCGTGCAAGAGCAAATTAATTTTTTGGAGCCTGGTAGGCTGCTATCTCTGCAAAACATCATTCGTCTGCTGCATGCACGTCAATGTAAAACATCTCGTGAGGCATGGATGATTTCTCCGCCAACAGCTATGGGCAAAGGCCCTCTGTCGAGGTCAGATTAAACAAATTAAAAGGGAACGGCAAAATTAGGTATCCAAAGTCTCCTATAATTAGGCATCTAGAATAGGTAACTAAATGCTCCTTATAATTAGAAGGAGAATAAAATCCTGGAATATCATCTAGAATAGGTAACTAATCTCCTATGATTAGGAAGAGAATAAAAGTCTGGAATATCATTTATGTAGCAGCATATCTTTATGCATACAACACAACCGCTTTGTCCTAGATGCAAAACTCTGTTGTCATGATAAGAGCCACTTTTTTAGTCGTGATAAAATTCCTTTAAGCGCATATCAAACTACATTAAGTGTTACAAGGAATT